GTAATAATATACTCCTTTGTCTGTTTTATTATTTATTTAATTATGTATTGATTTGTCACCAGGCTGGACAGGGGGGCAGACACGAGGATAGGGGGGCACAAACAGGCAGCACAGAGAAAGGACAAGACCTGCAAGAGAAGGGGGATAGAAGATGGGGACAACAGGGAATAGCAGAGGGAAACACCAATTGCAGAAAGCAACAAACCTGCAACAGAACAGAGAGGGGGCTTGGGGAGGAGAAAAACAAAAACAAATAATGAAAACAATAATAATAATAAAAGACAACCAGCCGAACAGCAGCAATAAACAGCTGACATAGTATTTAAACTAAGAGAAAATGAAAACAAGAAACAGTCAAGCACACTAAATAAGCAACACAGCACAGCCACGAGAGCTAGAATAATAACAATTAATTTAAATAAGTAACTGAAAGAAAAGCATCATGAATAATTCTACCAGGGACAACCTAAATTTGTTTGTGTCTATGTGTGAGACTGTGTGTGTCTGTGTGCGTGTGGGTGAATGTGTCTGTATATGTGTGTCTGTATGTGTGTGTACATGTGTGTGCGCATAAGCCTGTTAAAGAATGTAGTTGTTAGTGAGAGTGAGATGCCACACCTACCCCAGCAACAGGCAGGCAAGAACCCCAGTAGCCAATAGGGGTGGGAGAAAGAAAAAAAAAAATACATCAAAAAACAAAGACTCCCAGATGCACCGCGATGCAAACGCGGAAGACCCTGACCCAAATGCCAGTTGACAATGTAATGCAGACGGAACGCAAGAAGCGTGAGCCGCGGAAGAGCAGTGCCTGGACCGACCGCAGCGCGCACAAAAAACATAGGTCAGTGCTCCCCAGAGCGCGCAGCAAACAACCAAAACGCCCAAATGCCGCGCAATCATCAACACCAATGTAAAAGTGACGAGCCCAACGCGCACACTGCACGAGCACGGCAACACCCAATGCCCAGCAGCCGCCTGCGAATCCCGCATGCGAGGTCGTGCAAACAAGAGAGAGTGAGCGGAATAACACGACAGCTAAATCTAGTGGAGAGAAACACCAGCAGCAAGTCCCAGCCCGGCAGCAAACACGCCAGGTCACCGTGCAGCTGCCAATAAAAGTCTGCCGTCCCCCCAACCGCCGGAAAAACTAAGGCCACCAGCGCCGACATCCCCCATGCCCAGCATGCCCCCCGGCCACCGTGCATCACCAGCCAAACCCTGTCTGATTATTGTTTTCAGCTCCCTTTCTAAGCTCCCTAAAATCACTTGTACTTCCTGTAAAATCATTGGTCTTTCCTTCTATGTCTATTTTGTAGACTCAGTATGTCTGTATTCTGCATGCCAATTGATGGTCTATGTACAGTCTGAAAAGAAATTCTCTCCATAGAGTACAATGCAGATTGAATCTGATTCTGAATCTCAGACAGCAACAAATGTGCAACACTGGGATCAATATAATCCATAATGACTTCACTGCACAAAGGTGTTGTGAATATTGTTGTATTTGCTGATGACAGACTCCTGTCATGAACTTTGTCCTGTTTTCTTCCACAGACGTTACATATGACATTGATCTAGTCCTGGAATTGCGTATCCCAGTCTCCAGTGTGCCATCATATTTCATTGAACTATTCAGGAACACTGTGAGAAGTGTCTCGCTCCCCTACACCATCAATCAGTCTTTAAAAGTGATAGGTTTAAATTTCACCACAGGTAAGAACTTTTGTTAATTGTTTCCTTGTGTAATCTGTTTGGCTAATTGATTGCATTTTTATCCAATAGTGTATGATTTGCATAGAATGGCTTGAACTTTTTTTGAATGTCTTTAAAAGGGTGCTATCCAAACTCCACTGGAGGACTGCAGTGTCACTGTGAAGAGCAGTTTGCTTGGTCATGTGACCAGTGCAACATCTATGGTGCGTGCAGCAATGCCACCAGCCAAACCTGTGGGTGCATAAATGGACTTCCGTCTGATGGAGCGCTCTGTGAACCAATCACAAGTAAACATTTCTGTTTAGTAGTCATTCAAATAAAAGTCGTGCTCTTGCAAAAATAACATTTACAAATGAATATCTACTGTATCTGCGTTTCTGTGCTACATGTGTTGACATAAACATGTACATGTTTATTAGAATAGAAGATATTTTGTTTTCCTAAGCAGATAAACATACATTCATTTAATCTCCATCGTTGCTCCACAGATGTCACACCGTGTCCAACCCCCACTCCTAGTATGTACTTTTTTTGCCTTTTTGTTGAATGGAGAAAATTTAAAAGGGTCTAAAGTAGCTGAAGACACTTGTTGGAAACTTAAAAAACAGTGTTTTGATCTAAAAGGACTTGACTGCACATAGTGAAAAGTGTTGTGAATATCTTTGTATATGCTGATGACAGACTCCTTTCATGAACTTTGTCCTGTTTTCTTCCACAGACGTTACATATGACATTGATCTAGTGGAGTTGCGTATCCCAGTCTCCAGTGTGCCATCATTTCATTGAACTATTCAGGAACACTGTGAGAAGTGTCTCGCTCCCCTACACCATCAATCAGTCTTTAAAAGTGATAGGTTTAAATTTCACCACAGGTAAGAACTTTTGTTAATTGTTTCCTTGTGTAATCTTTTTGGCTAATTGATGCTTTTTTATCCAGTGGTGTATGATTTGCATAGAATGGCTTGAACTTTTTGAATGTCTTTAAAAGGTTGCTATCCAAACTCCACTGGAGGACTGCAGTGTCACTGCGAAGAGCAGTTTGCTTGGTCATGTGACCAGTGCAACATCTACGGTGCGTGCAGCAATGCCACCAGCCAAACCTGGGGTGCATAAATGGACTTCCGTCTAATGGAGCGCTCTGTGAACCAATCACAAGTAAGCATTTCGTTTAGTAGTAGTTCAAATAAAAGTTTTGCTAGAAAATTTACAAATGAATATCTACTGTATCTGCATTCTATGACATGTGTTGAAACATGTACATGTTGATTAGAATAGAAGATATTTTGTTTTCCTAAGCAGATAAACATACATTCATTTAATCTCCAATATTGCTCCACAGATGTCACACCGTGTCCAACCCCCACTCCTAGTATGTACATTTTTTTGCCTTTTTGTTGAATGGAGAAAATTTAAAAGGGTCTAAAGTAATTGAAGACACTTGTTGGAAACTTAAAAAAACAGTGTTTTGATCTAAAAGGACTTGATTGCACATAGTGAAAAGTGTTGTGAATATCTTTGTATATGCTGATGACAGACTCCTGTCATGAACTTTGTCCTGTTTTCTTCCACAGACGTTACATATGACATTGATCTAGTCCTGGAATTGCGTATCCCAGTCTCCAGTGTGCCATCATATTTCATTGAACTATTCAGGAACACTGTGAGAAGTGTTGCTCCCCTACACCATCAATCAGTCTTTAAAAGTGATAGGTTTAAATTTCACCACAGGTAAGAACTTTTGTTAATTGTTTCCTTGTGTAATCTGTTTGGCTAATTGATTGCTTTTTTATCCAGTGGTGTATGATTTGCATAGAATGGCTTGAACTTTTCTTGAATGTCTTTAAAAGGTTGCTATCCAAACTCCACTGGAGGACTGCAGTGTCACTGCGAAGAGCAGTTTGCTTGGTCATGTGACAAGTGCAACATCTACGGTGCGTGCAGCAATGCCACCAGCCAAACCTGTGGGTGCATAAATGGACTTCCGTCTGATGGAGCGCTCTGTGAACCAATCACAAGTAAGCATTTCTGTTTAGTAGTAGTTCAAATAAATTTTTGCTAGAAAATTTACTAATGAATATCTACTGTATCTGCATTTCTATGCTACATGTGTTGACATAAACATGTACATGTTTATTAGAATAGAAGATATTTTGTTTTCCTAAGCAGATAAACATACATTCATTTAATCTCCATCGTTGCTCCACAGATGTCACACCGTGTCCAACCCCCACTCCTAGTATGTACATTTTTTTGCCTTTTGTTAAATGGAGACAATTTAAAAGAGTCTAAAGTAGTTGAAGACACTTGTTGGAAACTTAAAAAACAGTGTTTTGATCTAAAAGGACTTGACTGCACATAGTGAAAAGTGTTGTGAATATGTTGTATATGCTGATGACAGACTCCTGTCATGAACTTTGTCCTGTTTTCTTCCACAGACGTTACATATGACATTGATCTAGTCCTGGAATTGCGTATCCCAGTCTCCAGTGTGCCATCATATTTCATTGAACTATTCAGGAACACTGTGAGAAGTGTCTTGCTCCCCTACACCATCACTCAGTCTTTAAAAGTGATAGGTTTAAATTTCACCACAGGTAAGAACTTTTGTTAATTGTTTCCTTGTGTAATCTGTTTGGCTAATTGATTGCTTTTTTATCCAGTGGTGTATGATTTGCATAGAATGGCTTGAACTTTTCTTGAATGTCTTTAAAAGGTTGCTATCCAAACTCCACTGGAGGACTGCAGTGTCACTGCGAAGAGCAGTTTGCTTGGTCATGTGACAGTGCAACATCTACGGTGCGTGCAGCAATGCCACCAGCCAAACCTGTGGGTGCATAAATGGACTTCCGTCTAATGGAGCGCTCTGTGAACCAATCACAAGTAAGCATTTCTGTTTAGTAGTAGTTCAAATAAAGTTTTGCAAAAATTACTAATGAATATCTACTGTATCTGTTCTGTGCTACATGTGTTGACATAAACATGTACATGTTATTAGAATGAAGATATTTGTTTTCCTAAGCAGATAAACATACATTCATTTAATCTCCATTGCTCCACAGATGTCAACCGTGTCCAACCCCCACTCCTAGTATGTACATTTTTTTGCCTTTTTGTTGAATGGAGAAATTTAAAAGGGTCTAAAGTAGTTGAAGACACTTGTTGGAAACTTAAAAAACAGTGTTTTGATCTAAAAGGACTTGATTGCACATAGTGAAAAGTGTTGTGAATATTTGTATATGCTGATGACAGACTCCTGTCATGAACTTTGTCCTGTTTTCTTCCACAGACGTTACATATGACATTGATCTAGTCCTGGAATTGCGTATCCCAGTCTCCAGTGTGCCATCAATTTCATTGAACTATTCAGGAACACTGTGAGAAGTGTCTTGCTCCCCTACACCATCAATCAGTCTTTAAAAGTGATAGGTTTAAATTTCACCACAGGTAAGAACTTTTGTTAATTGTTTCCTTGTGTAATCTGTTTGGCTAATTGATTGCTTTTTTATCCAGTGGTGATGATTTGCATAGAATGGCTTGAACTTTTCTTGAATGTCTTTAAAAGGTTGCTATCCAAACTCCACTGGAGGACTGCAGTGTCACTGCGAAGAGCAGTTTGCTTGGTCATGTGACCAGTGCAACATCTACGGTGCGTGCAGCAATGCCACCAGCCAAACCTGTGGGTGCATAAATGGACTTCCGTCTGATGGAGCGCTCTGTGAACCAATCACAAGTAAGCATTTCTGTTTAGTAGTAGTTCAAATAAAGTTGCTTGCAAAAATAACATTACTAATGAATATCTACTGTATCTGTTCTATGCTACATGTGTTGACATAAACATGTACATGATTAGAATGAAGATATTTTGTTTTCCTAAGCAGATAAACATACATTCATTTAATCTCCACATTGCTCCACAGATGTCACACCGTGTCCAACCCCCACTCCTAGTATGTACATTTTTTGCCTTTTTGTTAAATGGAGAAATTTAAAAGAGTCTAAAGTAGTTGAAGACACTTGTTGGAAACTTAAAAAACAGTGTTTGATCTAAAAGGACTTGACTGCACATAGTGAAAAGTGTTGTGAATATTGTATATGCTGATGACAGACTCCTGTCATGAACTTTGTCCTGTTTTCTTCCACAGACGTTACATATGACATTGATCTAGTCCTGGAATTGCGTATCCCAGTCTCCAGTGTGCCATCATATTTCATTGAACTATTCAGGAACACTGTGAGAAGTGTCTTGCTCCCTACACCATCAATCAGTCTTTAAAAGTGATAGGTTTAAATTTCACCACAGGTAAGAACTTTTTTAATTGTTTCCTTGTGTAATCTGTTTGGCTAATTGCTTTTTATCCAGTGGTGTATGATTTGCATAGAATGGCTTGAACTTTTCTTGAATGTCTTTAAAAGGTTGCTATCCAAACTCCACTGGAGGACTGCAGTGTCACTGCGAAGAGCAGTTTGCTTGGTCATGTGACAAGTGCAACATCTACGGTGCGTGCAGCAATGCCACCAGCCAAACCTGTGGGTGCATAAATGGACTTCCGTCTGATGGAGCGCTCTGTGAACCAATCACAAGTAAGCATTTTTTAGTAGTAGTTCAAATAAATTTTGCTAGAAAATTTACTAATGAATATCTACTGTATCTGCATTTCTATGCTACATGTGTTGACATAAACATGTACATGTTTATTAGAATAGAAGATATTTTGTTTTCCTAAGCAGATAAACATACATTCATTTAATCTCCATCGTTGCTCCACAGATGTCCACCGTGTCCAACCCCCATCCTAGTATGTACATTTTTTGCCTTTTGTTAAATGGAGACAATTTAAAGAGTCTAAAGTAGTTGAAGACACTTGTTGGAAACTTAAAAAACAGTGTTTGATCTAAAAGGACTTGACTGCACATAGTGAAAAGTGTTGTGAATATTGTTGTATATGCTGATGACAGACTCCTGTCATGAACTTTGTCCTGTTTTC